GGACGTGAAAAACTGTACGTGAGAATGGAAGATTGCAAAGACGGGGCTCCACCAAACATTCCCAATTCACCGTCACTATACGTCTGGGTTTACCAGGTCAGTCCAGCAGCCTCCGCCGCCACCGGATCCAACTCACCAGTTGATCTGTTGACAGCTCTGCCCCCGTCTTCACCTGAGTGTCCAAGACATGATTACAAAATTGATCATTGACCTTTGGCCTAAGGTGGCCTGGTACAAAGTACACTTATGGACCACCCTATGCTCAAACTTGATGTTTGTTATGGACAACCGATGCTTGGCACAGAAGTCTAATAACATCACCGTTCAGTTTCAGATCAGGGAGGATGTTCCTCCTAACTACCCCCTTCCAGATAACTGTCATTGTCCACATGGGCATTGAAGTCACCCAGCAGAACGAGGGAGTCTTCAGACAGCACCCTTTCCAAGACACCATCCAAAGACTCCAATAAGGCCAGGTAATCTGAACTGATCTTTGGTTGGGTAACTCTCTCCTTCACTGGGGTGAACTCCAACACTGAGCCACACGGACAAGTGCCTAGAGCCAGTTTTTGCAGCCAGGAATCAGCATGGCCAGGGTCCCTCCTTTGCCTGCTGCCCAGCATGCAACCAATCTTGATGGTCCTCCCTGCGGGTGGTGGGTCCACGCAGAGGTAGACTCCTGTAGTCCTTTTGGGCCGAGCCCCAGGAGCCAAGGCTCAACGTTGTAAAGGCACAAAATGAATCTACAGTAGAAACAGCTGCTGACTTTCATCATCATCACACTAATGGAGACGCCCTTTACACTGAACTATCACCAATAGGTGAAGTCCAAGCCAGTCTTATGTGTCAATGCCTCATAAAATCAGTGTAAAAACTATCAAAGAAGACTGACCTGTGAGCAGCAGAAAGTTGTGACGATACCACAGTTTCTGTTTGATGATTCACTGGGTTTCATGGAGGACATCTGACAAGTTTAGGAGACCTCACTTCCTGCTTTGAAGGTGAGATTTAATGGAAGTCATTGAGAGTTTGGGTAACTCACCTCTGAGGGTTTTAAGTTTTTAAAATGTTAAAAGTTCTGAAAACATCAGGGGTCAGATCTATAAAACTTGCATACGCCATTTTCGTCTTTTGGCCGTACGTTCATGTTTAGTATGGTTTCCATGCAATCCTTTATAAATCTGACCCCAGACCTTCTAACCCAAGTCAGGTTCCCAAATGTTCTGCTGTTTCCTATCAGAACCTGAAACACATTCAGTTTTCAGATTCAGGAAAAAACAATACACCTGAACGCACCAGAGTCACCTTCATTCATTTTATTTTGAAAGCACCAAAACAGGAAACATTCATCACTGTACAGGAAACAGTTTGTGAGTCTTTGGGCCTGTGTGTGGCGTCTTCTTCTGAAGCACATCACAGTCACTCTGAACCCTCACACCTGCCCAGGTTCAAGCAGGTCCACCTCATAGAATCCACACTGCTCTGAGGAAACCAGGGATCAGTGGTCTCCAGGTTCTGAGGGTCCCAGAAGTCCCACATCAGTCCTGGAGTCAGCAGCAGCTTCCTCAGGCTCTCCATGAGTACCTGAACACCTGAAGAGGAAAGTTCAATTCAGTTCTGAGTTACAGGTACAGCTGCAGACCCTCACCTGTTTTCACCTGCGTTCTGTTTACATGAGGGCGGAGCTAACCTGTTTTCACCTGGGTTCAGACATTTAAATGTGGGTGGGGCTAACCTGTTTTCAGATGTGTATACAGTATATGATGTGGGCGGGGCTAACCTGTTTTCAGATGTGTATATATGATGTGGGTGGGGCTAACCTGTTTTCAGATGTGTATATATGATGTGGGTGGGGCTAACCTGTTTTCAGATGTGTATATATGATGTGGGCGGGGCTAACCTGCTTTCAGATGTGTATATATGATGTGGGCGGGGCTAACCTGCTTTCAGATGTGTATATATGATGTGGGCGGGGCTAACCTGCTTTCAGATATGTGTATATGAGGCTGGTATTAAGATAATTTCTATGTGTTTACATTTGAGGTGTTGTTGATTTGTTGTGTACTGTAAGATATTGTTTGTGTAGTTGTAGTTTGTGACTAACGGTGCTGTGGTGGCAGCAGTGGCAGGCAGGTAGCGGTTCTCCTCTCCATCCAGGATCCCGTGGTACAGGCTGATCTCGTGCTCCAAACGCTGCTTGTTGCTTAGCAAGGTGTCGTAGTCACGACGCTGCTGCTCGATTTCACTGTGCACGTCTGCAAGCTCCGCCTCCAGCTTCACAACAACAGAACCCAGGTTCTGCAGCTCCACCTCATGCCAGTGACGAGCATCAGTCAGCGAGTTCTCCAGACCGCGTTTCTGTAACGGGATCGATCAGGTCTTTGGTCAGGTTATTGATCAGATTATTGATCAGGTCTTTGGTCAGGTTATTGATCAGGTCTTTGGTCAGGTTATTGATCAGATTATTGATCAGGTCTTTGGTCAGATTATTGATCAGGTC